CTCTGGGTTTTTTTTCGAGACCGTCTCAGCTTCTAATGTAAGAGATTTTGAAAATTTCACATTTTTGACGGGTTTTAGTATTTCGCTTACGTGTTGTTATTAAATTTGTTTATAATTACTACTATTTATATTTTCACTTTTCTTTCCAGTATATAGTAAAAAAAGAAAGATGTATGTTTTTTTGGTATAATAGGAAATTTTGACTTTTATAAATTACGTATTCAAGCACATTATTGCTAGCTAACGGTAATAATTATCTCGTATTTACACAAGTTTCCTACTCAAATATTTTATTTGGTCGAAGTAGCAGATATTTTTTTGTAAATCCAAATTAATGATAGCTTTTTTGGATTTTACAGATTCGTGCAAATTAAAAAAATGTTGTGGATCAGCAGGTCAAATCGGCGAAATTTGCGACGAGGGGAGCTCTTCCAGTAAACACTACAACATTGCTTTGAAGATAAAACATAGAACAGCTAACAAGCCCACCTCATTGGGGGCTTATAAGGCATTCATTGGAGCCAACATACCACTTAGAAAACTGGGCAACCCCAATATAAGATCGTTGATGACAAAATATTGTAAATTTAACCTAACTTTCAGTAACGAGTCAACTGTACGTAAAGGTAGTGTGTAAAGTTGTATGTTGAGAAGTGGATTTGTATAAATTAGAAACACACTTAATTCCAAAACTAAAATACTGTCCCATAAACTTACCTAGATTTTGAGAGAAGTTTTTCCATTTTAAAAGACGCCATTTTCTTTTGGGAAATTTTGAAAAAACATTTAATTGTTTTTATAACTGTAAATAGTTTGTCAATTTACGAATTGTATGTTGGGTAAGTTGCTATTATGTGAATGTATCAATGGTATTGGTCAACTATTAATTGTATTATTTTGTGTTATACTCGGAAATAATATTTTGTCATTTTTATGTTTTACAATGTGCTACGTAAGTATCCATGTGATATTTATTACGATTTTTTTTTTTAGTTATGTTTATTCAACTAGGTCTGTGGTATAGGTAAAAATTATAGGATTTCAGAAGAATTAAAAAGAAACAATTCGAGCTTTATTTAAAATAATATTCATAATTTTTCATATAATAAAAATGCACAATTGAATTTTTTATTCATTTCGATGGACATATTCTGAAAATTTTATGCATTTAAATGCGGTTTTTCGCTTTCATTTTTCTGCTCCTTACTTATAACAATAAATGTATAAATAATAGTAATTAACTCACTTGCTAGAGTCTCAATAATGGTTTTTACTATACCGGGTCATAAGGATATTTTAAAAGATAAGTTAGAAAATGTGGGTTAAGAAAGGTTGGTTAAAATCTTACTTGTCTGGCAGAACACAAAAAGTGAAGTATGAGTCAGCTGAGATTGAATCTATCTTGGTGAAGCCCGGGATACCGCAGGGGACTATTTAAGGGCCATTATTGTTGTATGATATAGTTCAATTTGTGAAAAACAGTGAAATTGCATTATTTGCTGACTATTCACTAATATATGTCGTTAGTAAAAATATCGAACAAATGCAGCAAGACATCAATGACGACTTGTATCGAGTGTTTGTATGGCTGTGCAATAATAATCTTGGCATTAATATTACGAAATCGAAATTCTGTTTGTATGGCAAAAAGATAGATTAAGTAGTTTGGATCTAGAGAGTTTTAATATTAATATAAATGGCGTTAATTTGCAGTATGAGAAATATAATAAAATATTTGTGAATTGTATTAGATCCACAATTAAAATTTGATACACATTGTTATTACGATTGATTGATTGAAAATTTTACCAAAAGGTCGGTTTTATATCTAAAGCAGGCAAAAATTTAACACCTTATACCAAATTGTTACTGTACAATAGCTTAGCGGCCCCACATTTGCGGTATTGTTCAACTTTATTGTTTAGTATACCTAACTATAGGCTAACAGAATTTCAAGAGTACAAAACTGGGCAATGGGCGCAATTTTGAAATGTAATAGATATACACCTGTGATGACTGCGTTAAACGTGTTACAAATATTAATTGTAAAGCAAAAAGTAATGTTTGATGCCTTTATATTTAGATTAGTAATATGATTAATTTCTTTATGAACGTTCATGACTAAAATACTAAAATAGTCCATCGATGTAAAACTACACATATGTTGAATACTATTTTAAACTAAAGTTTGCTAGAGTTTAATCGACAGCCAAAAAATATTAAGGAATATGATAATTTAAACGCTTTTATAATTGTTTTCATGTTATATAGTTTTGTTTGTATACTTTATACTTCTATACTTACTATACATGTACCGTATTGTATTATTTGAATTTTGTGGCTGCGTGGTACATTTGCAATGTACAAAAAAGGCGATAAAGCCCCTAGAATCGTTAGCTCTCACGAAAACTTTATTCCACTAACATACAGATAAATTGAAAATAATTATTATTTATTATTATTTTAAAAGATTAATCAAAAATTATGTATTGGCTGAAATTTTATTCTGGTTGATTTATAATTGTTTTAATGTTATATAGTTTTGTTTATATACTTTTATACTTCTTATACATGTACCGTATTGTATTATTTGAATTTTGTGGCTGCGTGGTACATTTGCAATATAAATACGATTGTTCTTTATTATAGATTTTATTATCATGGAAAACTAGAAAAAGGCGATAACGCCCCTAGAATCGTTAGCTCTCACGAAAACTTTATTCCACTAACATACAGATAACTTGAAAACAAATATTTTTCAGCTTATACGAACTGGGATATCATAAACAAATAGATGCTACTGAGTATTATGGCATATGATACCGCAAATACTAGTCATCCATTGATAGATAATTTCCAAGAATTGTGTCCCTTAAGTAGTTGAATTTTCAGTAAACAGAGACTATTGAACCTCGAATTAAAGTTGAAAACGGACCGCCACCGCAAAATGGAACAACTGGAGAGGTCGTTTGACTGTTGAGATTGATACCGCCTCGTTATTAAGTCGATAGTTTTATTTTTAAACGTTTAAAAGCAAATGGTTTTGCGACCTTGACTGTTGAGCTTTTATATATGGCTGAGGGTGAGGCCAGGTCGGATCGCGTTTACACTTAAACGTAGGGTTGGGAATTTTATAAGCAAAGAACCAGTGCTATACTGCCGAGTCTAGCATCTTATGGTCAACGACAAAATTAAAATTGGACAGACATACAAATCTAAATATATATTCGTGTGTTTTTCTTAACTGCTAAACTGAAATACAATTGCGACGGTAAAAAGCAATATACCACACATACAGCCAATATGTACTAAACACAATTTCTTTCTTTGTGGTGTGATTTGTGATTTTTCTAATTGCCCGTATAGATGATATTTCGAGAACATTAATATCCGATAAAATCTAAACATTTAGGTAGACTACGCCATAGTTAGTTCAGGATTCTATAAGTATGTTACGAAATAAAGGGCTATTGACTCGCTAGTTGCCAATCAATGCAGATAAATTGCAACGGAATTATATACAAATGAAAATTTCACAGTCTATCGGACTTATTTATATACCTAAAAGGTTATTTGAAAATTTGGTATTTTAAAAAGATTGACTTGTTCGAAAGCGTGGGTACTGAGTCTAAATCTATTTTACTCTATGCAACAGGTTCTCAGAATTGCATTACCACAGAATCTGCTGATATTATAACTCATTTTAGAAGAACTCGTCACACTGATTTGCAAATTTTAATATGTGTGTCGTTGATAGGCTGGGATTGCAGACCCAATCTTCTTAATATTGAAGAAGAAGTAATGGGTTTTTATTATGATTATTATTAGAATAAATAAAAATTCGTCAGTTTTGGTTAGATTTATATAGTATTTAATATAAGCCGATAATGTCTTTTAAAATGCTATTTTTAGTTAAGAGATGATAATATATCATTTCCGTAATTTAGTTCGGTTAGAAATTATGCAAGTTAATGTATGAAAAAGTCGATTATTTGAAATGCAACGGCCTGTGTATAATTGGAGATTAATTTTCACAAAAAACGTTAATAACAAAAAATAACATTTTAACTAAAAATATCTAAAAACAATCCGAAGAAGATTAGGACGCATTTTTTTATTAAAACCTAGTCTTATGATACTCAAGCCCTTTCATTTTTTAATATATTATTTTCTACCATCGTTATTAAACAAGTTTTCGGCGTAATATACATAATATAATACGATATAGAAAAATAATTAGCAAAAACTGTTTTTGATATTATTCCATGAAATTTTTGAGTTTTATTGTGTAAATCTGACGGTTTTGAATAGCTTAAGAAATGAATGTCGGACGACCTATAAGCAATGTTGGGTAAACTTTTTTTTTAAATTCAAAAATGATTGTTTTTTTTAATAATGAATATTTTGATTTTTTTAATATTGATTGATTTTTTTTTGCAGCAATTATAAAATATTTTAAAGCCACTATAAACAGTATAGTACAATATGCACTGTAAATATTTGTCAGAACGCGCTTTTTGTCGCGACATGTTTTTTTCCGTATCTATAAATTGTGGTTGTCGAGTACATCTCGCGTATTCAGTTGGTGGTTTGTTCAAGGAGCGGAACTAGTGGAAAATATAGTATTAGGTGAAAACATTTAAATGGCATTAAGAAAATAAAATAGCATATTGCAGTTTTATATTAAAACAACAGATTCAAACAAATCAAGTCAAGAGTTCTGGAATTTGAAAAATGACTTTTGAGTTTATATCCACTGATTCAATTGTGTTAGTAACGTAGTAACGTTAATTTTTAAATCGCAAACCACTGTCAAAAGTTGCACATTAATTCAGTACAGAAAAAAATATGGCTTCTCCGTCGCCATTAATGGCAAACTTTCTCTACCCGTGCTCGACGTTTAAACTTTTTGAGTCAAACGAAACCCTTTATTTCTAACGAAATGCGCAATAAATTAACGGTCGATTGAAGTGTAGTATAGAAATCGAAATGGTACTTACTGTTTTTTTTGTAAAGCAGAATCTCGAACTGATCGTGCAGCTGACTTTCTAAACAATGATCTATCCTACTGATTGTCTCCTTATCCGTAAGTTCCCCAAACATGAAGGCACATCTGCAAGATTTCTGCATCACCTCCGCCCTGTTGTAGCCGGAAATCTTGCAAAACGACTCGTTACAGTACACTATCGGGTAATCCACGATCTGTGCGTTGGCCAACAGGAAGCTACTATCGGCTGCAACAATAGCATTTATTAATATTATGGCTAGTTTCCATATTTCAGAATGAAGTTATAGCTATAATAGTTGAGTCCACGAAGTCTCGAAATGTAATTTCCGTTACCACTTTGGAGATTAAAAGCTAAAACCAACTTTAAATCATGCCCCAATATTAAAACCATGCTATGCATGGATGGCTTTAGGGGGTAAAATGTGAAAGTTTCCCCGAAAGACATGTTTAGATATAATTAAATAAATAAATAAAATAATCATCCATACAGAGATGATAATATTCTCGTTCAATACACTTTTAAACATGAAAAAATAAAAAACAATCTATTAAGTAAAAGAATATAGCAAATAAAATAAATAATGGATTTTTTCCGTAACAGATGTGGGAATACACTTTACACAGTATAGCCATATGGAAATAATTAAACATTTCTTTCACACAAATGAAAAAAAAAGATTACTAACGTGAACAGAGGTTCCGTGTTGAACGGGACTGTCCCTTTTCACAATTACGAGTCCGAGTGTCTGCGGAATGGACTGTGGGGCGCAAAATTGTCTATTTTGAAAAACCGCGCGAAAATTTGCCCACAACCGGACGCGAACTAGCGGTCGATGTGGTCAAGACATCATATTGCTGGTGTTTTGTTGACTTATTGGCTATTGTTGGACGAACTTTTCATTTCCCCAGTTCTCATATTCATATTCATATCGATTTTTATCGAAACATAAAAAACTTTGAAGGAGGCATCTGGGCTTATCACACGGAACAAGAAAACCACAGATTTCGTTATAATGATTGGGCATCGAAATTAATTCCCCAATTTACATGCGCGCTTACGAAATCAGAAGCTACTGCAGTAAATGTTTTGCCTCCTGCAGCAACGAAAGAATTAAAAGATGATCTTGATAAGTGCAATTGTATTTCAATACTAAACGACTCGCCAAATCACGGTAACAAGAAAATATACCCCATTGTAGCGCGCTTTTTTCAACCTTACGTAATTGCGCAAATAAAAATTATAGATTTTCAAGACCAACGGGGTGAAACTTCGACATCATTGTCAATTATTTCAACCAAGTGTTGATTGACAACAAAAGTCCTGGAGGGACAATGCCATCGTGAGTTTCGGAAGTGCAATTAGACGAGGAATTAACAATGTATTAACGAAATTACAATCATCTCTGAAAAAAGAATTAATGGGTATTGGATGTGCAGCCCATATATTCACAATGCAATAAAATCTGCTACAGATGGGCTGCCCGTAGATTAAGGAAGCATTATTGTGAATATTTATTCGAGTTGCAGCTCTAAAGGAGTTTTGTGCCGGAACTGAAACGGAATATCAAGAAATGCTGGGCTATAGCAAAACCAGATGTCTTACTCTTATGCTTGCTTTGGAAAATGCAAAAGAAAACAGTGAATGAAAACTCGGAAAAAAACCAATCAGTTATGGTCCCTCAATTAATGTTAAAATTGAAAGAGAGTGATACTGATATCGATCAGGAATTTGTGAAAAGGACGGCTGTAGAATCTTGCTCCTCGGATGGGAAGACATTCAAAAATCTTTGGAAATATTAATTGAAAAGCGAAATATTGACTGAATTTTCATTAATTCCTAGTTACACTACATCGCAAAAAATGACGGAATGGAATAATTTAAATGTAACAAATTTGTTTTTCTGATAAATATAAATACGTATAACTAACAATTTTAGGTACCTATATTTTGTGATTCGTATCCTTTAAGCCAACTAACTTTTTCTGAAGAAATAAATTTAAAGAAGTGTTGTTTTTTTGACTACCTACGATTTCACCTAAATAAACCAATGTCCCGTTTTGAGTAAAAAAATAAATGATCACATTAGTTATTACCCATATAGTCAAATCTAGTCTAATCATGAGGCTCCGGTACAAAGTTCACTAATTATAATAAAACTGTTTAAAATTATAAGCTTATTTTCTTCATTCATTTCAAGACGTGATGCGTCTGTATAAAAGATAAAGATACAAAAAAACCTTGAAGGTTTGTAGTTTATTAATGGTAAGATCAACGATAAGACCTGTTTTTACTATAGTAATTAAACTACTTGATTTCGTATTTAAACGTTTTAATATTACCCAGACAGGGGAAATTTTGTTATAAAAATATGCGGCAGCGTAACCAAAGGAACCCTGAAACAGAGCTGCTTGATGCCGGCTTCCTCAGGGCATTGTCTGAAACGTCAGGGAGACAGAGTCAATAACCCATGCAGGAGGTGTGCACTTACTAAGTTTCACAGCCTGCGGAAGTTTCATTGAATGATTTGATTAATCTAATAATCAAAATAAAGCTCGTCCCTTTATTTCTTGTAAGTTTGTCTAAAAACAACTACTAAAACATGTTACCATCGACTTAAGTTCACCCAGCCCGAATTCTTAAACCTATCCAACACGCGATTCAACCCAAAGCGGTACGTGAATTTTAAATCCATTTAAATTCGTTTCAAATTCAACAACTATCGGGTTGATGTGTAACAGACCGATGACAAAAACTTGAGATATACATTTTTGCTTTAGATTTGTTTATAAATAAAGTGATCTAAGTTTATACTCTACATTATTATTACAACATTCAGGGATTTTTCGCTAGAGCGTTTTAAGGTTTACCCCCCTACATCCTGTTTTTAAGGCCTTCGGGTTTTTCATGTTTGGTTGATATGCTCGTTGACAACTACAGCAGATAATTTGAGTGAAATTGGATTAATTTGGATTTTTCTATAGCAGATCTCGGTATCTAACTAACGAACTAAGTAAAACATTGTAATTAACTGACATTATTCCAAGAAGAATCTGTAAACATATTTCTTATGACTTTAAAAGCAAGAATGAGGACACAAGACGGTAGCCAGTTCTTGTTTTCACTTTGCAGTTGTTCACAAAATAAATGCAATCGAGAATGTATAATCCGTTCCACGATTTTTATAGTTACCTTAAGATCTCCTATAATATAATCAAATTTTATAATAGTGTATAAGTCGCAATAGAAAAATTAGTTTAAAATCATGTAAAATCTTATAAATTAAATATTGACCTTCAAAATTTATTCTTATAGTTACCGTAGATCTCGTTTGGAATATGCAAATATGAGATCAATAATTTCATCAATAATAATAGTTACCAACCGCTTCCAAAATTTTATAAATTAAATATTGATTTCCAAAATCTATCGCGACCATATGTTATTATTTATAATTAAGTTTTAATCCCATTTTTATGATTGGTCACCGATAACAACGGTTAAAATAATATAGTGCATAAGTGTATTGTTGAATAGCTGTAAGAAAAATTATTTTACAAGCTTTAAAATCGTACAAAATAAATGCTAATCTTCAAAATATATTCTTATAGTTCCCGTAGATCTCCTATAACAGTATTCAAATTTCCCAACCATGAATAGGATTCCTTAGAATATCAATAATTCTCTCAATAATTCTTTAAATGTAGTTACTAAATGCTACTAAAATATTGTAAATTTAATATTAACCTTCAAAATCCATTGCGACCATATTTTGTGACTTTTAACAACGGTTAAAATGATATATAAGTTTTCATATATAATAGTGTATAAGTGATTCATTAACTGTAGACAAGTTATTTCAAAATGCTATAAAATTTTATAAATTCTTTATTAATCTTCTAAATTCGCTGCGACTATATTATATGCTTTATGATTAAATTTTTATTCGAATTTTATGATTGGTGGCCGATAATAATAACTAAAATAATATGAAGTTTTTATGTACAATAGTGTATAAGTGTATTATTGAATGGCCTTAGAAAACTTATTTTAAAATGTGTGCGACGTCATAAATTAAACGAAAAGTACATATAAGATACCGGATAAATTTTTAATTGCCTGTCGCATTATAAATTAAAGATGCACCAGCGTAAAACAACACAAGCTAATCCCAACGCTGACTGGAAAACACCTTTTGGAAAATCGAGTTTCGTAAGTTATTTAAACTGACGAAATTTTCTCTTTGACTAATGGTATTTCGATGAAACTTTTTAGTCGCCAACGGAGAAAAACCGTCGATTCGAACCATTAATTTCAACCAAAAAGAACGACCGTTTAATTGAACGAATTCGCATTATGCGATAAGTATTTTAGAGATTATCTCTTTATGCTCGAGCAAATAAGGAAGCGACAGTTTTTGAATTGATTTGGATTTATTTTTTTCCAACCGATTAATTTATCGTTTTGGTTTTGATAACTTTGTCGATATATTTTTGATATACCCGATGACACACAAAAGTAGAATAACGTGAAAAAAAATGGAGAGGGTGCAACTTAAAATTTAAAAGTTGCCGTTATTTCCGCTGAAATCACTAAACCATCGACTATTTTAGCCCGAAACCTTATTCTTTTTAGATGTTTTAAAAACTTCTAAATCGTCATGTTTCGATAATATAAGCAGTAGGTTGTCATCGCTGAGGATTGCACCAGAAACTACAAAAAAAATTAATATTTCGGTTAATTGCTTTATAAGATTTATATTTTTAATTTTTTAAATCTTATTGCTCCATCCGATTGTAATTTCTTAATATAAAGGCCATTTTCCTTTTCCGTGTGTAGAATTAGCTTATCATTTTAATTTAAGTTGATCATTTCTTATGGTTTAGAATTATGAATTAAAAACTTGCCTCTGGACAGTTCCGAGGTGTCCGCGTTTATAAATTTTTGGGTGATGTTATTTTCGCAACAGGTCAGTTCATATTTTCAAACTTCAGCATTAGAAACATATTTTGTGGTTTTTATGTGACCTTCGAAATTTAGTACATTTTTGTTTTTTGTTGCTTCTAGTTTTAATATCAAATGAGCGACTATTTTCCAGTTTATAGGGTACTATTATTAATCTTCCTTCTACAAAAAAAATCCTGATTTGCAAATAACAACCCCATTTGGCATTTCCTTTTTGTTACACTTTAAGTTCTTTGTGGTCACCATATTGGATTTTTGGAATT